ATGCAAAGTTTAATATCTGTTGAAATATTGTTAAAGCAGCTTTTTATTGTTTAGATCAAACTCCTTATTCGACCTAACCTACTTGATATTGATATTTATTTTGATGGATGTATATGTACAAATCAAATTGATTTATTGAGAAATATTTTTAAAGATTAATCACAAGATTCTTAGTTTCATAAGACTTGATAATCCAGCTCCCCCAAAACCTATATATCCATTGCCCAAGACAGACCAATCTAATGGATCCATAGTGGCACTACAGAATCCCATGGTAATCAGGGTGTGATCTAAGACACTGAAAGCTCCCCCAATTTCAGATGACACAGCTACAACTCCAACAGGAAACCAGATCTGGAGTGTGATCATTATCCCATGTTGGGCTCTGGTTAAGCCCATGATCATCAAAATGGGCATGAACTCCTAAGCCATCTGATCCCATTGCTAGAGAAGGCAAATTAAAGTCATCTGAAGTCTGTGGAACTACACTGCCATCCTAGAAATGGAATGAAAGAGCTCAGGCAAGGAGGATATTGTACAGAAGGAACAATAGCAACAATCCCAGTTAATCCCTAGAAGGCAGTTTAATGAACAGGGTCTCACACCTGGTGACCTGGTGGCCCTCAGAAGCCATAAGGGATTCCCAGATGACAATCAGCACCACCACTCCACTCCAGTATAATACTGGGAAATTCTGAGGAATGTATAGTAGAACTCATAAGGAATATAAAATCATGTTTATTTTATATATAAGCATAAGTGCCTCAAACCTTCTGGCAAGCAGTTTCATTCTGAAAACACCTTATTCTATTTAATTCAACATTTTTATAGCATTTGTATGTCAAGCTCCATTTTTGGAAAATGGCACAATTGATCCAAGAGAGGACGTATTTCAGCATAAAGCGGTGGTGCATTTTAACTGTGACACAGGATTCATAAGAGTTGGCTCTGAATCTGCACAATGTTATCACTTTGGATGGTCTCCACAGCCTCCAGTCTGTAAAGGTAAATATGGGAAATTTAAGAATTATTACTGTATTTGAGGTGGGAGGAGGGAAAATAGGGACAGGTTTTTAAAAAATGTTCTGTTTTCTAGATTGTGTGAGGAAAGCTAATCATTGGCCAGTAAACAGATTTCTCTTAGCAGGATGCTTTGAATGGGTTTCTCACATCTCCATTTATACATATGCAACATAACAGCAAAACTGCATTCGTAAATTGTAAATAGAAAATGTTTATATGAATAGTAATATTGTTTTTCAGGGTTTTTTTATATTTTAGAGGCAATTTCTTTTTCATTATATTAATAGAACTTTTGAAAAAGAAGTCAAATAGCAAAATTACAAGCCTATTGTAATGTACTGTTTTGACACTCTCAATACAGATGTTTATTAGGCTTAAACAGACCACCTACACAAAACCAGAAATGCATATTGGAAAAAGAAAGAAATGGTAGTTCTCCTGTATTGACAAGTAACAGCTGGATTGGCAGTCCATTCAGATCGGCAAGATTGCTATATCCAATATTTTTTATTGTAGTCATTAAAAAACACACCATTTTTTATTAAACTTTATAAAAGATTACAATTAAAACAGTAAAAATACAAAGAAAAAAAGAAAAATAAGAAGTGCAGAAAAGGATAAAAAAAGAGAGAAAAAAAACAGAAAATAAAAAATATTAAGAATATCATAAAGAAAAAAATATATAAAGAAGTAACAGAATAACAGAGTTGGAAGGGAACTTGGAGGTCTTCTAGTATAACCCTCAGCTCAAGAAGAAGCATACAAAAAGAAAATATGATGAACAAATAAGAAGAAAAACATTCCATTAACACCTTCTAGGAAAATAAAATGATGGTAAGAAACTATTTATTTGAAAAATCTGATTCTCCTGATCCAAAGGACAAGGAAAAATCTTAGCTGCTTTTCTAAAGGTCTTTAAAGTGGGGACCAATTCTATATTGTGGAGAAATGTTTCAGAAAGGCTGGTGCATCCATCAAAAAGGCACATAACCTGGGTCCCATAAGATGACATTTTCCCAATGAAGGAAATCAGATCAATATATACTCTTGGGAGCAGTTGGCCCTGCAAGTAGTCAATCCTATCCCATGTAGGGCTTTATAGATGGTAATCAGCACCTGAAAATGCATCTTGAAGCCTGTTAGGAGCCACAACAGCTCACATAGTACATAGGTCTTGTGGACAAAGTGATAGACATACATAATTATTCACATCATTGCATTCTGGATGAAGTGAATTTTCCAGATGGTCTTCAAGCACAGTCCCATGTACAGCACATTGCAATAATTCAATCAGGAGGTGACTAAGGCATCAATGACTGTGAGAAGCTCCCCTATAAAGACTAAAGAGGATGACTTTGATAGAGATAAGGAAGAGCTGTTACTAAGTTAGTGAGGGAATAAATATTGCAGAAGCCCAAGTGAGGAGGCATATGTACAAAACCCAGTCTAATTTACAGGACATATAAAAGAAGGAGGAATGGAAACACATTCAGATCGGCAAGATTGCTATATCCAATATCAATAAAATGTGTTTTAGGTTTCTATGATGTCTATTTTTTTGGTCTGATCCAGGATCAAGCACAGTTGGCATGTAAGATGAAGTTTTTCAAAGGCTCCCCTGGCCATGGTTGCCACCTGCTCTTCAAGTAGGAGCCATGTGGTCAAGAAGTATGACCTGAACCCAAGCAAGGAGGTGCAACCCTACTGAGAGTCAAGGTTGACTGATA